CGCCAACCTGCTACACAACCTGTCAAGGCTATGCTCGCGCACGCATAACCCCCGGGACGTTCAACGGGATTGAGGACTTCTCGATCGATGTCTGGCAGGATTATCGCGGCATTGCGTATTGGCATAACGTCCATGGGACAGTGGAGGTGAAGGTTGGGATACTGGGGGCGGGGTATTTTTGCGATGGGGATAGGTGTGAGATTAAAGGGAAGGGGTTTGATACGGGGGATAGTACGATTTTTGGGGATGATGGGTATGCGCCGGAGTTGGCGGAGAGGGATGATGTGCCGTATCCGGGGATTCTGGTTTGTTGAGTGGGACTTATGATAATGTGGGAGGTGTACGAGAGAGGGATTAAAGATAAGTTTGATTGAGGTTAAGGAGGAAGGGTTTTTGGTAGCGCAAGACTGAGAAGGTGGATAAGATTTTACGTGTTCGAGGCTATGGGCACGGGTGAGGGTACGATGTAATTTCATTGATCCTTTCACTGAGGCAGTGGTTTATACGCGACGCATTGACTGCTTTCGCGAGGTTGCTCGGATTTCGTGACATGGTCTTGGTTGACTGGCGCGTGTTTTTGATTTATTCCTACTGCACAGCTGGAAATCTCGAGGAGAAAGCAACAGCCCGTGGTTATGGGACAGCTTTTGTCTCATATAATTGTCACAGAGACGATGAAAACACACAGCAAAGCGTGCGATTTCAATCTTCTTGACTGAACGTTCGGCCCACCGAAGACGATAGCTTGAGACTGGCGGTGAACTCGTAATAGTCATCTGCCTTGTCACCATGAGTCGATATCAGTGAAACCTTAAATCTTGTCCTTTGCTCTTGCAACCTTGGCCTAGGATGATTCATCTTCTACAGAATAGTGCAGAGAGGTCAGAACGACTTCATCTAGTTGTATGATAGCCCATTCTCTATGATAATCGGGACTAGAGTTGTGATCTTAAAGGAAACATCGATTGCAGTTCCAAAAGCACCTGCGCTAGAGGCAAAGGCTTTGAAGACCAGGGAGATGCCGCTACGCTTCCTCCATTAAGCGCATCTCCCCACACATAAGATAAACGTTTTGAGTGGATTTGCGAGCCTCCACCACTAACTTGTCTCCCGTCTTTGGCATACACGATCGCGAAGCCCAAGAGATCGTCTATGAATTTGTAGGTGTGATGGCCCCAGAACTCTTGTCGCTGGCTGCTTCGCCCAGTGAAGATGCTAGAATGTGATCAAAAATTTTCAAGTCTTCGATGCAGCGGCCGAACGAGATTGAGACGGGGTTGCCAGAGCCGTCGGAAGTGATAGCGCTGACTCTCATCCCCGAATCTCTCAACGAAGGATGAATCAAGACCGAAACCTCCATTCACTGCGCTCTCGCGACGCACCGTGTCCTCCGCGTTTGGCCAGTTGTGATATGAGCTTTCGAGGCAGTGCGTAGTACAAACATGTTGATGAATGGACCACTTGCAGTAAATTCCCTGCACGTGAATCTGCGACCTAGCCGTCTAAGGTTTGATGCTTTCCATTATGAGGGCTGTGTCTCTACTCCTGGTTTTTGGCTTTGGTGTCATGTCGCTGAGGTCCATTTGCCTGTCCGTTGCGCCCCCTCTATCAACAGCTTCTTGAAGTTCCTTTGAGCCCGATGACTCTACGGAAATTGTGCGCGACAATCCGGTGAGGTCTTTCCACTTTGATATGTAGATTCGCCGCTCAGCCACATAAAGTGTTCCTTTTGTCTTGCATTCCCTTCTACCTCCATCAAGGCGCGATAGTAGTGTGTCCCTTTCCTGGAGAGGTTTTGATTTGAGCAGAGGTGTGCGATGACGGATGAGGAGTGATGTGGAAGAAGGCAACAAGAACATATCGAGGGTGCTGCAAGGTGCTTCATGGTGCGGTATACCGTTGAGTGATTGGTACATTGCTTCCACCCTTGCCGCGCCCCAATGTTCGGAGTGACACGAAAGTGCTGTTCCGACCCATTGTGAATTTGCCAAGACAGCAAGCTCAAACTCAATGTGAAAGCTGCCCTCTTGATCCTTGCTATCCACGCATAGATTGATGTGACATGTCTTTCTCTCGGGTGCGGTGCAGCGTGGACTCGTCAACAGATAACAAAAAAGGGAAATAAACTCTTTCCTCCGTCGTAGCCGTCGGAACGATGCTTATGACGTACAAGTCTACAGCGATATATACTGACCTTTTGCCATGGGTCTGGAGTCCTTGCAACATAGCCAAGGAAAGCTGTACCAGGATAGAAAGCACGTGAGGATCCTTGAAGAACAGGCTTGACGACTGGGTATATGTGGAAGTATTGCAGCGTAGCGATCTCCCTCGTCGGAGTTGGTCGCAGTAAAAGGTATTTATATCCTGGACTGGCTTGAAACTTTGTAGGGGACACTTAGTCGGAGAGAGCTTAGGGTAGTGTCAGGCTCACCCCGCGGAGATGTTGAACTCTTTGGCGTTCATTGCTCGAAAAGATTGAGGGTGCTTGGGCGATGAAGTTTCCTATCGGTCTGGCAAAGTAGATGTGGTCTTGTTGGGTTCAAGAGGGGTGTATTGAGATATATAGTCACATCTGACTCAGTCAAACTTTTCTAGTATTGGCCGGGCCCAAGAAAGACACGAACAACCTTTTTCTTCGTCTTCGTATAGGGTTTTCAACTAAAGATTACCAGTGGGGCACGAGACTTGTTATTAAGGTTTTCTTGTGGTAATATGTATAGCAACAATTAAGCATTGAGATATAGTCAATCAAAGGACGGTACACACTCAAACTCATAACGGTCCATCAAACCCCAAAAACCACTTGCTCCAAACACGAATACCTTCCCGGAAAACATGTCCACCTTCCCACCCACCCTCGGCACCGCCCTCCTCCCGCACCTCCTCGCCGCCTCCATCCCCCTATTTTCCCTACTCACCATCAACCACTCCTGGTCCTACTTCATCCTAGGATGCATCTGGTCCGCCGCTCCTCTCAAACAATTCCTCCACCTCCTGCCCTCCCGCCGACCTTATTACGCGAGCAAAGTCCGCATTTTAAAAATCTGTACCACCCAAACGTCCGCGCACCATGCCGCGACAGCTGGTTTGCACTTCTCGGCGACGGAGCTGGAAGCGTTAAGTCTCAGCGATGAGGGTTATATTGGGTTTTGGAGGTGGATGCAGTACTTCCCCTCTACGCTGACGCGGGTGAGGCTCTGTGCGATTGGGTTTTGAGGATGAGTATTCAGCCCGCGTTGGGGGAGTGTGTGAATGTAGAGAGGTTGGAGATTGATGTTTTATGGGTGTTTTGGGATTTGGGGAGAGTTATGGCTTTTGTAGATGCTTGTAGGGGGTTGAGGAGTTTGAGGGTTGAAGGGAGGGGGGCGAGGTTGGGGCTGCAGTATGAGTTTTTGAGATGCTTGGAGGTGAAGAGAGGGTTGGTGGAGGTGGACTTTGGGTTTGTGGTTCACTTGGGGGCGGAGAGGGATGTGATGGCTCTGCCAGAGTGGGAGGTTGAGGAGAAGTTTAGAAGTTTGGAGAGGGCGAGGATGAGGGTTAGGGGTGAGGATGTCCTGTTTGTGTATCGCGTGGCGAGAGTGGTGGAGAATTTGAGGTTGTTGGTTTGTACGCCTGAACCGAGGGGTGGATTGGTGGTTATGCAGGCGATTGAGTTTTTGCCTGTGCTGGCGACGGGGAATTTGAGGACGGTGTTTTTGATGTTTTAGGGGAGGGAGAAGGTTGAGGGGGCTGGAAGGATGAGGTGTTAGGGAGGATTACGACGTTGAGGGAGTTGGTCGTTATTGGGAACGAGAGTACGCTGATTCTTGTTGATGATAGGGCTTTTTTGGCCCTCGTGAGGCTGGGGAAGGAACTAAGGCTGCTAACATTGAAGAGTGATGGTGTGGGGATGACGCAGACATAGCTTAAAACGCTTGGAACATCGTGCACATTTTTGGAGGAGTTCGATATCACTGCAGCGGCAAATCTGGTGCCTCTAAGAGAGGAAGATCCGGCGCCGCTGTTTCCGAATTTGAAACGCATGGCGCTGAATAGGGGTATGGTCGCAAGCGAGTCTGGTATGCCTTGTGGACACAAGATCATACAGCAAGTCAATGATTTGTTTTCATCTGCGAATACCAAGGCTGCGAGAGATGGAGATTTACGGCTACATTGACTGGATGATACGATTATCAATCACTTTAAGCATTGCTATTGCTAGGCAGCAGAGTAGAGCCAATTCTTCAGATATGGCCAATTACAATGACTGCTTGCCTCGTCTTCTCCGTTATCCATATCCAAGAGAAGAATCGTCCTCGACCTATGCCATCTCAGCTCAGTCCTGACCGAGCGAGTTCTAATTCGCGTCAGGGTTTGCAAAATCAACCATTGAGGGCAAATCGTCCGCTATCAGATGACGAAATCATCTAGCAATGCCTCCATCAATACCGAATATACTCCAACACCGTCTTTTTCTATGATCACCTCTTGCATAATCACCTCTTCCATAATCACCAATCATTATCAACCCAGGCTGGACACCAAATCCCGTCCGTCGTACATTTGCTATCGAAGACTTGTCCACTCCATCCACTACCTTCGAGCAACAAGAGAACCAAACCGGTAACGATCTTGTGCATCCACCGTCAACTAATGGCATTCTCCTCAACTGAGAAGCTTTCCCCAACCAAACACTGCATTCCGCTCAGTCGACCAAATATTCGTCCAATCATTCCATCTTCTCTTCGCCAATGTTTCACTCGCCAAATAGCACCCAATCTCCCAGCCTCCCTTCATCAACCTTTTCCACTCGCCCATAAGTAATATAGGCCATGTTAGACCAACCATCCAACCACATAACCCGTCCTCGCGTAAGCACAGAGCAGTGCCCACTCACTCCCGTCCATCTGAGAAACTTATCCACGCATTTCGCGGGGAAAAAACCACAAAACCCCTCCCCAAAGATTTTTCATCGCCATGGTTATATTCCCCTGCAAGTTTGTTGATTGCGAAAAAAAAAATGCCTGGACTGAGAATCGAACTCAGATCTTGGGATGGCCCGAACTTTAGAGTTCGATCACACCCGGGGTTGTATGAGACCCACGTTCTAACCATTAAACTATCCGGGCTTGTTATGCTTGACAAGGGAGAAAAGAAAATATATTCTACAGGTAGTCTACTTGCGCAAAGACAGATTTCGGGGGGTCCTCCCGATGGGCCGATTTACAACGTGCTTGCACTTCTTTACTGCGTGCATTTACTTTAAATATATCGCGTTGCGATGCCTGCTTCGTGTATCCTGTTAGAGATAATGGATGCTCAGTTGTTTACATGGGCGACGAGGATCAGGTTCGCATCTCAACGACAGGGTGAAGGAAACATCCTATGCCAACGAATGTAATTTTTCCAAGAACCGGCTGAACCATGTGCTATGCACAGTGGCTCAGCCAAGAGATAAAGAAGACGGGATCTAACTAATCAAGAACCAAATTGACAGCATTTTCTTGAAATCCATTTTATGATGCGATCCCTTCTTCTTTATGGGTCTGTGATTGTTAGTTTCTGTTATGGCGTTTGGTTGGATGTTCACCTCTTTCTAGAGACTAAGGCATCTGAGGCGGAGGGTAGTCGTCGCGATGAAGCATTCCGCTGTTCGAGCGAGGATATCTATGTCCGGCTTCTTCGGGTGAGTGCGCATATGCATCGTGTAACTGGTACGGAGGTCTTATGGGAGGATGATCCATGGGAGGACGTGGGTGATGGCCCGTTGCGGGGTGCGGAGGTGGTCCCATTGGTCCCATTGGAGCGCGAGGATGACGGTCCATTGGACGGTGCGGAAGAAGTCCTCCTGAAGGATGAGGATGATTTCCCATGGAGAGATGCGGAGGGCGATCCATGCCACGGCGATCCATAGGATGGCGATCATTAGGATGGCGATCGCTAGGACGTGGACGTCCCATCGGATGCCCATGGCTATTGGGATGTCCAGGTCCCATAGAGCGTCCATGGCCACTAGGATGTCCATGTCCCATAGGATGGCCGTGTCCTAGAGGACGTCCTACAGCAGGCCCCATTGGACGATATCCCGTTGGGCCCGAAGGAGGTCCAGGTGTGAGTGCATCGATGTCAAATGCCATTGCAATGTTTCGTTGCTGGATAGCCGTGTCTTCCTCATGGGCAGAATCATCAGGCCTGGGCACCTCGTCCTCTTGAGGAGGGAATATATCTTCGCCGAGGCCAACTTGAAGTCCTTTGTTTTGGGCGACCGTGGAGCCGGCTATGACCGAGAGCAGGGCCTTGAGCGAGGCCCGAGAGACGCATTCCTTGGGGGATGAGATGACAAGGAAGAAACCACATTTCTTGGAGTTTCCATTTACAGTGGCATCATTCTTCTCAGCTTCGCCATCCTCGTCGTGCTTCTGCTCAACAGGCTTGGCGATGCGACCAAGGGTCGCATTGGCAATGGTTTGGATGGTGCAGACAGTTCTGCGGAACGGAGCCACAAGGTCGGCCTTGAAGATGTCATCATTTTCTATTTTCTCTGAAGGCGGGAGCGTGACGATGACGCCGACGAGGTCTTCGTTCTTGTTGATTCTACTAGCGGACAAATTCGCGCATTCTGTCGTCTGTCCAGACTGCTGTCCCGACTGTTGCTGCGGCTGCTGCACCGGATGCTCTTCCGACTGCTGTCCCGATTGCTGCTCTGGCTGCTGTTGCGGCTGTTGCGGCTGTTGCGGCTGTTGCTGTATCGACTGCTGCTGCTGCTGTGGCTGCGGCTCCGCCTTTTTCTCCAGAGGTTCCTCCTCTTCGTCCTGGAAGTAAACTTCCAATGAACACTTGAGTCTTCCCATCAGACCCAAAAGGTCCATCTTCATGCTGTTCACCTTGTCCATGAACTTGTTTGAGGTGCGAATGATGATCCTTGACGGCTGCTGCGTCAAAGGTGAGGAAAGGAGGCTTTCCAGAGTCGCCAGCAGCGACCTATTATCCCACCTCTGCTCGTCCTTGTCGAAGGCAAGACAGATCAACAGCGTGCCTGGACCCTCACAGGATTTAGGACATTTCTCGATCGTTTTCTGGACGCGTTTGGCGGCCTCGCCGTTGCGGTAGTTCATGAACGAAGGACGGGTCATGGCGGGCATGGCGGGGGTCTTGGGCGCCCTAAAGGAGAGTGGCGATGTGGGAGTAGCCGGGCTGGACACGCCCGACGAGGAGGTGGATCTAGAGGTGTAAAGCATCGGAAGCGGAACATTCGTCTCGAAAGCAGCAGCAACAGCAGCAGCAGCATTAGCGAAGCCATCCAGATCATGGTCGTCGTCGGTCATGGGACGTCCGCCCTGATGAGAGTGCTCTCCTACGGAGCCATTCTCAACAGAACGAGTCTCGTCAACAGCGAAGGACTCACCGTGCGACATGTCATACAGGGCTGTGATATCACGAGGCGGGCCGTCAGCGAAGACTTCGTCAGAAGCCTTGCCATCAGTATTGATGGGCACTTCGTACAGAGTATTGGAGTCCCGTGAGTAGACGCTGTTTGCGCGAGAATCCATTGTGCAAGCTGTGCAGAATTCGACAACAATAGGGACAATGGGGGTAGCATGACGCGTACGATACCGTCGAAAAAACTACTTACTTTTCCGAATACTTTGGCGGAGCACCCCCAACGGGACGGTATTCACCTGTGGTGGGAGCATAACCCCCTGATGGAGCTCCACTGGCCCCGGCTTTCGTTTGCTCCATCCGCCGTCGATCTTCGTCAGGGATTACCCCGCCATCTCCACCTCCAACCACAACCTCCCCGCCCCCACGCACACGGCCAACCACCATGCCCTTGGCCACCGACTTGATGACTGCGCGACGAGAGACGCCGGTGACGTCAATGTAGACAAGTCCCACGTTTTTGATCCCCCCAGCAAGATCGGCTGCAAGAGACCCGGCCTCGCTGCCCCAACGGTGGCCGACGACGGTTGTAGCCGCTTGGCCGCTAGTTGTCAGCAAGCTCTTTCCACCGTATGCAATGCCATCGGCAATGGTCGAAAAGGCAATCATGCTCTTGTTCAGCAGGCCAGGCTTATACTCGTCAGCCGGTAGCGGCTGGTTCTTCTCGTCGAAGCCTTTGTGCGGCCGCACTTTGGTACGTCCCGTGAAGCGTGCTGCGGCATTCTGAGCAAGCTGAGCAGCCTGGCCAACGGTGCGAGAGGACAGTCCGGCTGCATTCTGGGTGAGATTGTTAATCTTGCGCACACGGTCATGAGTTGCAGGGGTGAATTCCAAAGGCTTGGCTGGTTTTGTCTTCTGAGTGAAGCTTTCGGCACCAGAGGTGAGTATCTGTCCCAATTTGGAGCTTCCGGTGACGATCAGACGGGATGCTGCCGCAGCTTCCTTAACAATGGTGCTGTTCTTGTAGGCGGGGTGGTTAGCCATGCGAAGATACTCCTCGGAGGCAGGAGCAACGTGAATTTGCTTTCCATCCGGGCTGACTTCAACCTCGACGGGCGTTTTGGAGCCGGCATGGAGCCTGGGATCTTCTACGATGGTGGCATTCTCTCCAAGTTCACCAACAACGCTTCCATCGTCTTCGTCAATCAGCACGATCTGGCCAGGCCTGCCCTTGCCGGGCGTCTCATGGCTTTTCCCTGTAGGGGGTTTGGCCTTTTCCATAAAAGCCGTACATTGAGCCAGGATGGTCTCAAACGTGTCTACCTCGTCTTGAGTTACGCCCTTTCCCACTGGTGGGAATTGGATGCGAGTAAAAGCGCCCTGTTCCATGTCCCATCGTGGGATGAGATAGGAATTCGGGGGCTGATGGTAGATTTGCGTAGTAGCCGGCAACGGAAGATCCAACTCCGGGGGAAGATTGAGATGGAGGTAGAAGTCTTCCTCACCTTCTGCGGTACCAGTTGGGACCATTAACAGACTCAGAGTCTGCGCACCGGAGGGAGTGATGCATGATTCCGAGCCGTTTTGAAGGTGGTATCCCCTGATGTTGGGGACAGTGAAGAGCACCTTTGGTTGAGTCATTTTGGGCAAACAAACTGAACAAGTCTCTTCTCTACATACAGTCTACATCTTGCCCGAGCCACTCCGCCACCGGTGACGTCGGCGTACCCCTCATCCTATGACGTAGGTGGGGGATTTATTGCCGCCGCCTGCGCTGACAGGGGGAGGTTGGGGGGTGCGGGGGAATTAGACGCCGGCAGATCTGCATCCAGAACAGAGGGCGATTGAAGTCAATATGCCAGGCACATGCCAGGCGCAATCGATCAAATCGTTGAGATGAGTCGTGACACCCAACGTCCTGTCCATTCCGTCGTGTCTCTTGACGGCCCGGCCCATGCCGCTGTCCAAGAAGTGATGGAGATTGCCAACATCTGGCAGATCACCAGCAACTCTTCCAACGTCATCAGGCAAATGGTAGAACATACGTAAATTGGCGTGCAGCTGAGCAGAGAATTGGAACCGTGAATCAGCAATAAAGTCACACAAACTGCAGCATTGCATACCGCGTAGAGTCACAGTGACACGGGGTGGGCTGGGCAGATCAAACTGGCGCCTGCGTAGACCTGTAACATGGCGGAGACAATTCAATCGCTCTTGGACCGCCGTGCATCTGCCCAAGCGCGCGCCTCCACCTGCTGCTGTGGCAACGCCTCGTGCGTTTTCAGGTCGCACAATCAAACGGCGCTAGATTCTTTGGCGCTCGACGCGCAAACGGCTGCGCGACTGGGTCAGGTATAGCATCAATCATGGACCAGCAGAAGCGACGCAGTACCGAGAGTTCGCTAATCTTCTCGCTGCAGGCTCTGTTGATCCGACACGAGACTTATATTGCCGATTCGGAGCGCGAGCGCAAGGCCATGGTGAAGCGCATTGACAGTCTGGAAGAGGACAAGCGCGCGTTGGAGGAGACGAATTCCGCGGCGATCAAGGAGAACAGTAAGCTGTTGGACCAGCTGGAGGCCGTTAACAACGCCGTAATATTGTCGGACGCGAAGGTCTCCAGTCTTCAGGCCACGTTGAAGGATACGCGCGAGGAAGTCGCCAAGTTGACCCAACTCGCCGTGCGCGCTGAGCGGTTGGAGCTGCAGCTGCAGGATTATGAGGCCGAGCAGGCGCAGTGGAGGAGCAA